CTCTGCAGTTGCCTCCTGTGACCACCTCCTTACAGGACAGCCACAGGCAGCCAATTTCACTGGCCCTACTAACACTCACGGCCCCATGGACTGTGCAGAATGTCATAGCGTGACCTCCGGGAACTCCTACATACTTGTTAGAACTTCCCATGGGAAACCTTTTCAAACAATGCCTGGATCCCATGCTGTTTCTCTCTCTCCCTGCCCTCCAACATAATACACCCCCAAGGACCTGTAAGTAATAACATCTTCATTTCCATCTGTATCTCTCTGAATCACTGAAGGGCACTCTCTCTATTAAAGACCCCAAGTCAAGGCATCCCTGGAGTACAACTTGGTGCAGTCCCACTTCTCCACCTGTTAGCAGAGTGACTCCAGGGAAGCTGTTTAACCCCCTCTGCCTCACTTCCCTAATCTGTTGAGCTAATAATAGCCACCCATAGGTGCTGTGCAGAGGAGATAAGGTCTCCAAAGCAGCTGGAGCTGTACCTGGCACACAGGAAGTGCTCAGCAAGAGTGAGCGGGGAGTCCTGTCATCCTTCTTCGTGTATGTACTGGACCAGCCCACCAGAGAGCATACACCTGCTCTGTTTCATCCACATCTCAGCACAGTCTGCATCTCAAACAAGTCTGAAGGATGAACTAAGGGGCATTGCCCTGGCCTGGGTTCCCTGTGTTGCAATTGTACCACACACCTTCTCTTAGGGGACAGAGAACTCAGCTCACCTTCTTCACAGCCACACACAGCACGTGCTGTTGTCACCTGGCTGAGGAAGCACCTCTGGACTCCAGGCTGCCCCAGATCTGCCCAGAAGGGTGGCCAATGGGGCCTGAAATTTCCTGACCCCCTCTGCATGTCACAGAGGGCAAGGCAAGGCTCTGGGGCCCAAGATTCAGCTGGGAGCCCTTGGCTCGGACTCTGGCTTGGTTCCTGGCCAGATGATTTCTCACCATCAGTTTCATCACCCACCCCGCCATGCCATTCTCCATGGCTGCTCCTCATGATCCCCTTCAATGAGGCGCTCTCGAGCCCCTCCTCCATACCCTGGCCTCTTGAGAAATACTGAGCCAGTGGCCATGTGGCCTCAGGTAAGTCACTTCTGCTCCCTGGGTCCCTTTCTCTTTGATTATAGACTGGGACTACTCGTTCTTCACACAGTGAGGTCCTACAGAACCACAGTGAGGTTTGAACGAAATTGTGTACACCAAGGGAATGCACAAGGCTAAGGCACAAAACAGTGGCTCAGGACCCTGCTACGATCACACAGCTTATCAGTGGCAGGGCCAGGATTTGCATCCAGGCAGGCTGGTGTCCATTCTGGCCACTGCAGGAGAAGATGTACACCGTTCCTACGATTCCATTCCCATTGGCCCTGAATGTCTGTCCTGAAGTATCCCCAGCACGGAGAGCCCTGGATGGGGAGGCAGGAGATTAGGTGTAGTACTGACTCTGACTTGCTAGGTGACCTTAAAAATGCAGCAGAAAGGCTGCCATTGAGCTCTTAGGATACTTTCCTAAATACATATATTATCTCTTTTAAAATCTAACAACCTAGGCTGGAGGTATAGCTTAGTGGCAGAGTTCCACCAGGCCTCAAGCCTCACTGATCCCTAGCACTACAAAAACATAAAACAAAACAAAGCCCTAACAACCCTAGAGATAGGTAGAAAAACCAAGGCACAGAGATGTGAAGCTGCTTGGCTATGGTCACACAGCTGCCAGGTGGTGGGGCCAGAATCAAACCTCCCACTACACTCACAGCCAGCACACCACACTTCCTCTCAGCACAGTGGAAAAATAAAGCAGTGTTTCTCCTCGATGTGCTGCCTCCCACGTCACTTTTTAAACACTTTGCAAAACGAAGATTTTATCTCAGACCCTGGTTAGTCTCAGGCAGCACAGATTGGTTCCCAAACCCACAGTCAGGAGACGCTAACAGGTGGACACAAGTAGAGAAATTGAGTGTCAGAGAACAGAGCGGCCAGGCCTGGGGTCTACGTGACAGGAGCTACTTTCAAGGAATCCAAGGGCTCACAGGGACCCTTCTGACAAAAACGTGTGCTCAGCACTGGGCAGGACACCAACCCCAGAAAACAGCACATCACTCTCCGCAGCTGGAAGTGGCCTGCGAGAAGAGCATCCAAGTTTCTGTGAGGTCCAGAAAAGTTGAGTGACCAGCCTCTGGCCTCAGGGCCTGCTCAGGGGACAATCAGCGCTAGGCTTGGACCCCAGTTCCTCCCTGCCTTGGGGCTCCGGTGGCCCCACCCTCATAAGTCCTTCCCAGCTCTAGGGCCAGCAGCCCTCTGGAAGGAAGGCCTAGAGCTCCGACTCAACTCACTCAACACCACGCTTCAATTAATAGGCGTGTAATTATTTTCTAAATAAACCATGCTTGACTATGTAATAGCAAATGGAAACATTTGATGAGAAAATCAAGTTATGCATGATATATAGTTATGCGCCTCAGCTAATAAAGTGACTTTTATTCCTAGGGCTTGTTAGAACAATGTCCTACAGATGCACTACTTCTTGGTCAAACACTCAGCAGCTGTCCCCAAATGGAACACAGCACGCTGTGTGAGGAAAGCAACGCGGACCCCCGCCTGCTCTGGCCTCACCCCAGCTCGACAGCAGCTCTGTCTGGGGCCCAGGACTCACCCTCCCTGCAGTGCACTGAACTGGCAGGGTGGCGGGGGAGGGGGTCGGCCACTGGGGCAAACGATCCATCCTCCCCCCACCTTTGTCTTAATAAAGCATTTCAGGGGGAAAAAAATGGAACACAGCAACACATACACACACGCAATCACCCTGGGCACAAGACTTTTCTCCTCCATTCTGTGGCTCAATTTACCTCCCTCAGGCTGCAGATCCAGCCAGTCCTTGGTCCCAGAAGAGCTGGACATGATCCCTGGATAGTCAGGAGACACAGCCTGAGCACTGGGTCCCTGTCCCACCATCCCCATCCCAGGGAGATCCTTGCCGCTCCATGTCTGGGACTCTCAGGATCCAGAGGCAGGAAGGAGGTTGTGGAATGAGAAGGGATTAGCATTTACTGAGCACCTCCTGTGCATTGTGGTGTCAATCCTTTGCCACACACTGTGTCTGTCCTCACTCAAAATGTACATTACTCACCTCACTTTACAGATCAGGAAACTGAGGCTCCAGACAGCAACTGTTTTACCCAACACTGCCTGTCTCAGAAATGGCAGCATCAGGACGTGAACGCAGCCCTGCCTGGTGTCAAAGTCTGCATACTTCCCACCACCAGGCGCCTCTCAAAGTATAAGCTGCTTCCTCGGCAAGATCTCCAGAGTCTCCAAGTCCCTCTCCACAGTTGATGCCATTGGCCCCCCTCCATCCCCTGCCATAAACATATACCCAAACTAAGCCAAGGCCCACCCAGGAGGAGCAAGGTACCCTCAGATAACTGGGCGTGGATGAAAGAGCCCTGGCATACTGGGTCCCCCTAGGCAGGGACAGGGGCTGGGGCACTGGGAAGGACAGTGGGGAGGAGAGGATGCAGGCTCTTCTGGTCTTAAAGGAGACAGCATCCCCTGCCAAAGCCCAAGAAGGTCCTCTGGTCACCAGCACCCTCTGCCACTCCTCACAGAGAGTACTGACACCCAGAGGGTCCCAGACACATGCCAGGCACTGCCCTGGGCACACCAGGACACAGGGCCCCATGCCTGCCTCTCTGTGATCCCCTTTCTCTGCTATCCTCAGTTCACCCTGGGGAAACTGAGGCTCTCTGGAGTGAGGCACTGTTCCCAAAATCTCTCAGTTGAAGTGGTCTTCAGAGCCTGCTCTGTGTCCACGGCAGGTCATCACCCCTGGAGTTCTAACCGCTGCCCTTCCCACTGCAAGTCCCCTCAAGAACCACCTCCATCCTGAGCACACAGATGAGCTTGGCCAAGGCTCCATTTCATAGGCTCCATTTCAACCCCAGCCCAGCCAAGCACAGATGCATCTTTCGTGTGGGAAGCTCCAGGCACCAAATCTGTCGTTCAGACCCATCCCCTCAGGAAGCCTGGCCTGCCACCCAGACCCCTCCTTCCAGCCCCACCTCCACCTTGCCCTTCTCTGTCCAAAGTACACCTAGCCACCCAAGTCTGCTTTCCTGCAACTGCCCTCAGCTAGGGCCTGCCTGGGCCCTCCGAGGACTAATTAGGGCAGGGAAAGAGGCAGGAAAGGCCACATCTGGATCCCTGGCCCGAAGCCCCCTCCCCCAAATCAGCCATCACGCTCTGAGGCCAACATTACCCTCAGCCAGTGAGGACTTCCTGGCCCTCCTGACCTCTGTGCATGCCTTCGCCCAGCCCAGGCAGCCCGCTGGATCCCCTGGGGGACGGAGGTCCCCCCACACCCCTCACGCTGCAGTCAGCCCTCTCATCCCCCTTCCCAGACCCCCTGTACCTCCCCAACTTCCTGAGTCTGGGGCCCAGAGAGAAAGAGAAAAGAGCAGGCCACATCCCCCTCCTCAGGGCAGAGAGGTCTTGTAAGGGTGAGGGGCTCTGCGGGAAGGGAGGGGAGTGGGTAGAAGCTAAAATTGGGACTAGAAGGGATGAAAGTGATGGAATCTGAGAATTCCTTCCAACCCAGCTTTTCCAGATGCAACATTCCAGGGGACTAGCTCCTGCTTCCCAGGCCCGCACCACTGACCCCTCCTCAAACTCTGCTGAGGGGAGAGAATGGTCACCCCGTTGCAGGATGGGGGGCACGAAGACTCTAAAAAGAAATAAATGTTTCAATGGCTTCTTTCCACTTACTGCCTGGACTCAATGTGGGGGGCTGGGAGGAGAGGGGCATGTATTGACCCCCGGAACCAGAGCCAAGGCCGGACTGAGAGCCGCCTGAGAGCTGCCGGAGTCAGTCTGTCCTTTTAGTACCCTTTAACCCTAACACCCCCCACTCCCCAACACCCCACCCCTGTTCCAAGCTCTCAGCTGCAGGATGAAGGGGGGGGGGGTGGAGACTTCGGAGCTAAAGCAGCTGGACCTACCCAGAGCATGCAGGACAGACAGATCCACGTCATCTTCGGTGGGTCCTGTCCCTCCGGCCGCGTGAGGGCCTGCACAGGGCCCCCGGAGTTTGCAGCACCCACGGAGCAGGCAGAAGGGAGCACGGAGTGGTCTGCAATTCACTCAGCCAGCATCTGTGGGCCTCGCGCCTGTCTGCCTCCCTGCCCTGCCGGCCTCTCCTCTCTCCTGCTCCTCCTCCCACCCCACCCCCTTGTCCCAGCCTCCTCTCTCCCCCCTCCTCCCATCTCCTCTGGTGGCGCTGGGGGTCAGAAGCTCAGCTTGGTGGGAGTGTCAAGGGGACAGGGCAAATAGAGAGCTACCGGAGGCAGGACCCCTGAGGCCACCCCACTCCCAGACACACAAGCCCTGTGAGCTGCTGCGCCTCCCTGTGCCTTCTGATCTGGTGCCCACAGGCCAGAGTCAGCTCCTCATTTCGAACCTCTAGGCCCTGAAACCCGCCACACCATCGATGGACAGACAGATCTAGGACTAGGACGGCGGTCTGCACACCCTGAGGCTCCTTGAGCTCTCCTCCACCTCCCAGTACCCACGCCCGCCCTCCTGCTCACACACACGCATTCCCACACACACAGCTAGAACAGCCCCTGGTGTCCACAGCCTGCTCCGAGTCCAGGACAGACCTTGACACAGGACAAGCAGGCCAGACAGGAAGGCAGGCCCTGGCCCCAGGCTCTGGGTTTCACTCCAGTTTTGGTTTTTTTTTTCTATTTCTTTTTTCCCCTTTTTCTCTTTCCTCCAAACATCTGTCCCAGCCCTTCCTGCCCTTCTGAAAGAGAGCCCGCTCCAGGCTCCCGCGAGAGTCTGTTTTTCTTGACTGTACCCTGGGCCAACATTTGGTTTGCATTTCCCCACTTCCTTCTCCTCCCCCGCCTGCTCCTGGGCCTTCTCAACCCCCACCATTCCCACTCCTCCTCTGTCCCTGCAGTGTCCCCCTGCCCTGTGGCCCTCCCCTCCCTTCAACCCACTTTTGCCCAGGAGCAACAGTTTGGGGTCTAGAGAGATGGGGTACAGAATCCAGATGGACCCCCAGGGACCAAAGCAGGGGACCCCAGAAAAAGCTGCCCCGGGTCCTCATTGTCTGGATGCACTCCCCACCCCCTAAACCGAATAACAAAAATGTTCCTCCCTGAGCCCTGGCCATGGCTGGACCCGGTAGGCTGGGCGGGGGCAGTGAATCACGGCTCTGCTCTTCAGAGCTGTCCAGGGGAGGGAGAGGACTCAGCTCCACACCCCTCTGTGGATGCGCACGCAGCAGGACACACACACAGGCCAGCTCACAGACACACACAGATTCAAAGACAGGCCCGTTAGCCCTGAGAAGACACTGGGAGACTTTTCCCCCAGCATTGAGGACTGAACCCAGAGCCTCCACACTGAGCTGCGTCCCCAGCCCCTTTTTATTTTTTATTTTTTGAGACAGAGTCTGGCTAAGTCACTAAGCTGCTCAGGATGGGCTCAAACTTGCAATCCTCCTGCCTCAGCCTCCCAGAGTCTGGGATTACAGGCACACACCACCAAGTCCAGCTCCCTGGAGACCATTTCCCTGGACTGAGTAATTTAGCAAGAAGGTCCTCAGGCCTGGACTCCTACGCCCCCACATGAAAGTGCTGTCCATGCCTTCAGCCAGAAGGACAACAGGTTACAGAGCCCCTGTCTCTCTCTCCCACCTGTCCAGAACCTGTGCCACTGTGTCGGCACCACATACAGCACAGCCCCGGGACTGGGTCTCCACAGCCAGTCTTGCCCATCGGGAGGACCTGCTCGACCAGGTGTGCAGGCTCCCAGCCAAGATATGTACCTAAGAACCCGAGAATGAGAGGGAAACACTCTTCATCTGAGAAAGGGCTGCCATATTCTGATATTCAGGTTCTGCACTGTACCAGGACTAGCCATCACTTTTCAGTTATTCTGAAAAGGCAGGGGAAGACACTGAAGTGAGGTGTCTAAATCTGGTCTTTCCTAGAGCAGTGCCTGTGCCAGGAGTCCTAGTGCTGCTAAGGGTGTTATGGTAAGGAATCTGGGTCCCCTCTCCATCCTTCTCTAGGTCTTTCTGCAGAGCTACAGGGCTGGGTAAGGTGCTGCCTTAATCCACGTGTCCTGCCAGCATCTCAACACCACTGAACGCCCTGTCCCAAGCTCCCCACTTCCAAGCCTGCCAGGGCCCAACTGCCAGCCAACTGAAGGGACCAGTATTCTACCTTAGCTGGCCCCAACCTGCCACAGGGGCCCCAGGCCGATTCCCACAGACCCCATGACCTCCTGGGCTGGCCCACACAGCAGGGCTCCCTGAGCCCACGCTGTCCCAGCACCATCCAGCCGACAGTGGGCCTCAGCCCCTTCCACAGCTCAAGGGCTCAGCTGGCTGAGGCCCAGCCCCACCCCCACTCACTCCCCCTCCCACTCCCACAGCCCTTTGCTTCGGCGTCACAATCACCTTCACAGTCACCACCATCACCGGAGATGTGCCTCCCCGTAGCTATAATGGGAGTTCTGAGAAATCACCTTGGAGCTTCTCAGAAGTCCTGGAAAATCAGGCCAAAGACCAAGTCACCGTGACACCAACTTGTCTGGCCTCCTCAGCGGGGGGCCTACTACCCTCCCACCCTGAAAATGCAAGCCTTTGTGGGGTCTGCTTGAAAGAACTCTGCCTCCAAAATTCCCTGTCCCTCTCTCCAAGCCTATGAGGATTCCCCTAATATCTTAACCTCTCCCCATCAGGAAGTCCTTCCTGCCACCTAACCACTGTCCTCCTACTGAATGTCAAACTGCCCCCAAAAGTGTCTCTAAAGGTAATGTGAGGACCCTATTGTGGACCTGTCTCCCAGCTGTTTCCTTCACTACCCACACATGGGACAGTTTCTGGGTCAAGGACATGTCCTGGGTTTTGTATCTCCAGAGCCTGGCATACAGAAGGTGCCAGAATGAATCAATCAACCAATCAATCAATGATGAGTCCTAACACATCCTCCTACTGCTAGCATCTCCTATTCCCTTCCCAAACCTGCCTTCTCTTCCCCTTGTATGAGTCTTGGGCAGCTTCTCACCTGGGAGCCCTCACAGGCTGCATACTCTCCAGAGGTATTGCTCATTCCAGGAGCCCAGACCTGCGTCTCATACTGGTAGATATCAGGTATGCACTGGGGGTTGGCTGGGGTTTCTGGGGAGTGATGCTGGTGGCCTGGGAGCCCAGCCACTATCCTGTGCCATCCCACCCCCTCCTCCAGACTTTTTGGCAGCACATTTGTCTAATTTGTGCCCTCTCCTTTCCACACAGAGACCTCCCTGGCTCCTCCCTCCCAGCCCCCTGCTCAACAGCCAGCTGAAGAAACAGGCAGCGCTGTGGGCTCTGGTGCTGGCACAGGGCCAGCAGCACCAGGCAGAGGCACAGTGACCGGTGGGCGTGTGCACGAAAGGGCCAAAGGCCTGGGGAGCCTGGCACTGCCCTCTCCACTCCTCAGTTTCCTCAACGGCAAAACAGCCAGCCTGGAGGCTGGGGGGTTGGAATTATAGGCATGTGCCACCATGCCTGGCTAGCCCATCCCTTGATGTGGCACTCAGCTTTCCTCTGCCACCACCGGTCACAGAATCTGAAGGTCATAGGACATCAGAGCTAGAAATGCCTTTGAGACCAAGGGCCACAGCAAGAGCCTTATGGAGCCAGAGGGAAGCGGACTGGAAAAGGGGGTTTTGGGCACCTGGGCAGGCCACGCTCCTCGGCCCAGCCGCTGTGTGACACAGCCACAGAAGCCCCCATCACCAGCTGTCTTCCTCTGACAAAAGAAGCCCCATATCTGCATCTGTATATAAAATTCTTTACAAAATATGAAAAATGCAAATTCTGGAGTGTTCTGGACTCTGAAGGATAAATTAAATGTCTGCCCAAAGAGTTTTGCCTTTGAGACACTCGAACCTCATGCCCCCCCCTCGGGCAACAGACCACTACAGTACACGGAGGGTAAGGGAGGTCACAGAGCTGCTCTTTGGGGTTCCCAGCCCCCAGATCTCTCCTAAGCACCATGCTGAATGGTCACTGTAAAGCAGCTCCCACCTCACACCCTGCAGCAGTGCACACCGCAGTTCCCTCGCAGCCAGAGGAGGGTGCAGGGCAGCACTGGGCTCCCCACTGCCATCCCACTGTAGATCCCAGCAGCTCACCAAGTGCTCAGCTCCTGGATTCCCATGCTTTTGCCCCCCAGACTCTGCCACTTTGCCCCTGCCCCAGGAAAGAGCCACCTTAACTGACTGCCACTCGACCTGTGGTGTCCTCTTTAAGCCTCCTGTGAAGCCTTTTACAGGTGCAGAAACTGAGGCAGAGAGAGGTCTGGCGGCTTGCCAGAGTCACACAGCTGACATGTGTGCCAGTGAAGCCTGGGGCATCTGGTCCCCATCTCCCCGGGATGGAAAGGCTCTTGCTGCTCTAGTAGCAGTATAGTCAGTCCCTAGGCAAAAGGTGTTAGGTCCCAGCTCATGGTGACATTAACTGCCCTCTCTCTTCCTTACCCAAGGGCTACTGCTGTGGCCCCAGGAAGGCGGTCAGTGCCCAGGCTGAAAGTCTGGCTGGGTGAGGGTCAGGGAGCAGGACACAGAGGGAAACCAAGGACAGTTCTCCTGCTACATGGGTCAGGATGAGACTAACTAGCTTCCCAGGGGCTCCAGAAGAATCAACAAGAGATCTAGGTGCAGCCAGGGCCAGGCCTCTGCTGCCCGCAGGGCCTCCCTTCCAGGTAAGCCCTGCTACTGCCGCTGCCCATATACATGGCCTTTGAGCCTGGGTCAGGGCAGAACCTCCCTGGACCACCACGCTGGGTGTTCAAGGGTGCAAGCAAGGAATGAGCCAGGACTCCAGTCCTGTCTGTGCCTCACTCAGCCCTAGCAGGAGCTGCGCCAGCCCGGCGCACCAAGAACTGCATTCTCATGCCCACCAGGGCCCCATAGGGTCCAGGAGAGGCCCTGCCACCCCTCTGAGACTCAGATTGCTCCCATGCACTCCAGAAATCAGGGTGCTCCCTAGGAGGGAAGGCAGTGTTCCAACCAGGCCCTGTCCAAGCCTCAGTTTCCCCAACTGAGAAGGAAGGGGCATGCTCACATAGCCCATTCCCCTCCTCATTTCCACAAGCACCCTGGGTGGGGACCGTGTCTGGGCCCAATCCCAGTAATTTTTAATAAGATCTTTCCCAGGACTCAGTTCCGCTATCTTGATCTCTTCCCCAGTCTAATTTCCTGCCCGACTCAGGCCCCTCAAAGGCTAGAGGAGGGAGCTGCAGCTGCTCATACACCCCACACCCCAGCCCCCAGGTCCCGTCCTGGCCCCGGAGGATGCAGAGAATGGGGTGAGCTAGTTGGATCATCCACTACCTTGGCAAATGAGGAGGGGGACTACTGAGCAGCCGGGGGTCCACTGACCTGGTCTTGGGTGGCCATTTCACACTGCAGACTGCCTTTTGCCAAATCTGAAAATCCAGCCTCCACAGCATCTGAACTCAGAGCCCACTGGAATGTAGATGGGGCCCCTCTGCATGCCAAGCCTGCAGCACCAGCTTCCCAGCCAATCCCCAGGGACAATCCGTTTTGCTGGAAGATTTCAAAGCTTGCCCTGGGTGACTGGAGCAGAAGCCTGCTGGCACCTTTCCCCACTGCAGAATGGCAGGGCAGGAAACTGAGGCTTGGAGGCAGCACCTTCATGAAGGAGCTGGAAGTTCAAGCTCCCATAAGAGGATTCTTCCCATACATTTGGATGGGAAGAAGATATCGAAAGGCATCACTCCATCCCTGGCCTGTCTGAAGGCCTGCAGAGGAAGGTCACTGCTGAAAAGGGATGGTAAATAATGATGGAAATACCCCTGATTTTTATTGAATACCCACTGCAGAGTAGACACGTTGTTAAATACTTTAAATATATTGTCTCGTTTAATACAACAATCTAATGATGTAGACATTTCTGTGGTCCCCATTTCACAGATGAGAAAACTAAGATAGAGGCAGCTTCTGTGACTCGCCCAGGTTCACAGCTGGTGAGAGAGCCAGAATTCAAAGCCATGCGGGCTGGCTCCACAGCTGGCACACTTCACCAGAATGGTGTACTGCTGCCCCCCCAATCTAGGGTTCATCTGGTTCCCCACGAGAATGGAGAGTGGGTCAGAACCCCTGGACCAGGAGGCCCCGGAATCCTTCCCCTCACTAGATGTTAAAGCTACACACCATTCCCTACTTTGTGCCGAGGCTCCTGCAGACTCCCCTACACCCACACTGAAAGCAGGAGGAAGGATGCTCCATCAGGACACCCCTCACAGGCCCCTCAGGCCTCTCCTCCCCACACTAGACCAACTGCTGCTCTGTCCCTGGGGCCTGACCCAGTCTCGCTCTCCCCTGATCTCTCCATCCTCCGGAATAGGAGGGAAGTCCCCCCTGAAGCCCAGGCTTCTCTACTCCCTGTTTCCATCTCTGTTAACTCCCAGCCTTAACTCTGGGGCTTCCGGGGATGGAGGGAGGCATTTCCAGGAATACATATTCCCTTCCCACAGAAACGCGAAAGATGCATAAAACTAAGAAACTTCCCGCTACCCACACCTCCCAGGGCCTCCGGAGACTACAGCGCTACCCTTCAGCCTTCGGAGCCAAACCAAGACGTTACTGGTGTGTTCCGGGAGGGCAGCTCCTCCCCCTCCCGGATCCGTGCAGCATAGGCAGGGGATCCCCTGGCGTCTCCAAAGTCTAGCGCCAAGATGATGTTTTCCCGAGGGTGGGTGATAAATCGGAACCCTGAGCGGCCCGAGGGGGCACCTGACCATCACGGCTCTGGAGGATGGGGGATGGAGGTTTGGAAGGTGCCGGAGTGACAGAAGGCGTTTACCTGGCTACGGAGACAGAAGCGCAGGGGAAGGAGGCAGGAGAAGAGGTATTTGCCCCATCGGATCAGGCAGGAGAAGCACCAGCTCAGCCGAGTCATGTTGAACCCGAGAGTGGGCGGCTGCTGGGCTATGGTCGGAGAGGAGGAAGGGCTGGCTGCGCTAGGGATGCAGGCGAGGCGCCCTGCCGCCCGGGTCTCCCGGATCTTCCGTCCCAGGGGAACCGCACTCGAGCCCTGCCCGCTCTAGCGGGAGGAGCGGGGCTGGGGTCCCGCCGCACGGCCCCTACCCGGCTCCATCTCCCAGGAGCGCCTTGCTGGGGTCTTCCTCCAATGGTTCGCTCTCCGCTGTCCTGGGAAACAGAGCGCCTCTGCTTCTCCGGCGGGCTGGAGGGCTGGCTCAGCGCCTCGGCAACTTTTGAGGCGCGCAGGGAGCCGCGCGGAAGAGGCGCTGGGGACCTGGCAGAGGCGGTGCGGGGCGTGGGTCCGCCTGCGGGAAGCAGCAGCAGCCAAGGGGGCCGGGGCGGCGGCGGCATTGTACGCCCCGCTGCAGTGAGTGTGTGAACGTGCGTGTGTGCGTGTGCGTGGATTCCCTCCAGATCGCACTCCAATTCCCATATTGCTCCCCAGAGCATAATGTGATTAAGTTAAACAGAGGCGGCCGGCTTCCACTACCTTGCACCGAGCTTGCTTATGAGGACACTAAGAGCGACCAGAACCAGCTTTTTTGTGGTAGGCCAACCTCTGACTCCCGCTAAGCCTGTTCTCTCTCTCTCTCTCTCTCTCTCTCTCTCTCTCTCTCTCTCTCTCTCTCAGGCAACTCAGGAGTGTGGCCCCTGAGAAGATTCCAAGCACCACAACAGGTTGGAAGGGAGCATGGCTCAGCAAGATGGAAAGGTAACATGCACCTCTCCACCTGCTGGGCTGCAGGCCCTCTGCTTCCTATTTTCACTGTGTTGAGTCCCATCTCTGCCGCCAGGCACAGCCCCTCCCTGCCTCTGGGCGTCCTCTCAGGAATACTGTTTGCTGTCACCAGATTGGGACCCTAGAACTAGGGAGAAGGAAGAAAAGACAGGAGGCAGAGATGCTGGGCTCTGGGGAGAAGGGGTATAGACACAGAGACCGAGAGGGCCAGGCTGGTACCCACAAGCACACCAGGAGGGCTGGCAAGGCAGCCATGAGCTCTGCCCCGCTCCTGTGGCTGCTGAGAAGCTGAGCGGGCAGGCAGCCAAGCCCAGAGAAAAGGGGGCAGGGAGCTGCAGCGGGGCCTCTTTTGCAGCAACAGGCCCTGGGAGCCAGCCAGGCCCGCACCCCCCACCGGCACGGCCTGCACCATCTCAGCCAGGCTGCCTCGCTGTCACCATCCTCCCTTGCTCCAACCAGGGTCCCTTTCCCAATGTGTAGGCTGAGGGCTGAAGTGTGTGTGGCTAGTTGAGCTCGGCCCCAGGCTCTCCTAGGCCACAGAGAACTTCTCAGTCCAGCCCCACTCCATTTCTGCTGTGCACCCCCTGAGGAGGCAGCTGGGGCTGGCACTGTGCGGGGCACTAGAAGGAGCCCAGGAAGGCGACCCAGTGAGGGAGGAGGCAGCTGGGTGAGTGAATAAAGGGGGAAGACAGGCACCCGGGCCCTTCAGCCCCATCAATCAATCCCCCAAGCCAGGGGCACCACCACCACTTCTCCATCGGGAAAGCTCCAGAGGGAAGCTGGAGGGGTGTCAGGAAAGCAGGCAGAGAGGAAGAGTATTGTCTCTCAGTAGAACGAGCCGCCCCTCGAAGGCCGGTCTTCAACGGTGCCCAGCATCCCCAGCAAAGGGCCTTCCACTGCCACACCTGCTCCAGGCCTGGAGGGAGGGGGCTTCGGAACTCACCACAGCCTCCCAGCTCCCCGCCTGGGGACCAGAGGAACAGAAGGGCTGTGAAACAGAAGGAAATGGACCTAATCCATAGCACGCAGAAAGGAGTTTAATAGAAAACAGGAGGAAGTTCCTCAAATAGGACTGGCTGCCTGGCACAAGGGAGCAAGGCAAGATGGCTTTTTATTTATTTTTATACTGAGGATTGAACCCAGGGCCTTCACACTGAGCTATAGACATATATATGCATATATATATCTATATGAAAAATAGAGATAACAGCCAAATATGTTAGTTATATATATATATATATATGATTTCTTTTTTTCTTTCTCTTTTTAAATTTTGAGACAGAGTCTCACTAAGTCACTAAATTGCTCAATCTGGGCTAGAACTTGCTATCCTCCTGCCTCAGCTTCCCAGAGTGCTGGGAATACAGGCGTGTTCCACCATGTCTGCCCAGGGTGGCTTTTTCTTCAGAGGATTCTTAAGGTCTTCTCAAGTCGTGAAAGACACTCCACACACAGAAGGAAGGAGAGAGGTGGGAAGGAAGGGAGGGAGGCAATGACTAGATCCAGCCCTTCCTGACTTGGACAGACTGATGGAAAGGACTCCCAAGGACAGAGACCTTTACTTCTAGCCTCTGTCCAGCAGGAGGCACCTTCAGCCAATGATCCTGAGGGGAGAGGCAAGAGTCTGAGGCTGACAGGGACAGAGACAGGAAGTCAGGCCTATCACTGCCTGGAGAGCCTCCTCAGCTTTCCCCTCACAACTTCTGGCCCCACCGCTCCCCAGGTAGCTTCATGCCAAGTGCTTCAACTCCTGAAGGCCAAGGTAACCCTGCCCCAAGTCCTCTGTTCTATTTTCATCTCCTACAGAGATCAGAATCCTGAAAATAACAGCTGCAGGAACCCATACCTTCCAGAAGGCATCCAGAATCTCCTGGAAGATTCTAGCAAGGACCCTCTTCCTCTTTCACCAAAACACATGTGTTGGGGTGGGGGACTTCCAATTCCAAGGTCTCCTCCCAATCTTGATCCCCATTCTCCCTCAAAGCACTCAGAACTCCAGAAACCATACCATACCCATGGTAAGTGCTGATGCATCCTTCCTTCTTCCCTCTCCTTGCAGGGCCCTGAACTCAGGAACAGAGATGTAAGGCTCCCATAATAGACTAGACACCAATGTGCAGGTCCAGAGGACCACGTCTGAGAGGTCAAAACATGGTGTGAGGAAGAGGTCGGGTGACCATGGGTAGGATCCTGTTTGTGAGAGAGGCCTCATGGCAGAGCCTAGAGACGTCTCTTCAGGCCCCCATTGGGGGCCCAACAGTAGTCCCCAGCTCCTCACCTCTCCCTCCCCAGTGACAATTTTGAAGAGTTGGTCACCATCCAAGGGATGGCCATCAAGGTTAACTGATCCTCTGATGACCCCTTGTCCCCCCGCTGATGTGACATGGCCCACTCCAGGCTCCCACAGAACCCAGGTCCTGTCTCTCAGCCCTGCCACCCTCTGATCCTCCTCCTTCCCCTCTCTTCTCAGCTGGGCTCCAGGCAGCTATGGGGCTGTGCTGGGTCCAGCCAGGGCGTGAAGGAGACCGTGCTACTTCACACTCCTTCATGATCTTGTGGACTCTGGGTGAGGGCCAGGGAGCAGATTCCAGTCCTCAGCCAGGTGGGATGGAGGTTATGTTTGCAGAATGGGCTGCCCTGGGCCCTCCTCCCCAAGTCTTCCTGGGATCAGAGCCTCTTTTCTCACAGAGAAGCAAAAGAAGAACAGGAAACTTCCCAGAGGCGGCCAGCACAGGTGTTGGGAAAACAAAAGAGCAGGTTATGGCCCACAGGTCCCCTGGGACAGCCCGTGGGAGGAGAGCACCCCCGGCCCAGGGTAGGCACAGAGCTCCTCTGTCCCAGGCCTTCAGGGCCGAGGTGCCCCTGGCTGGTTTTGCCTGTGGGGGGACAAAGGCAGCCCCTGTTAGGGGAAAATCCCTCGGGCACCCGATCGGAGACACCAGGTCTCACTTTCACACCCAGAGAGAGATGTGTGGAGACAGCTCCCTCGGGACCTCCCAGTCCTCCCGGATCGAGAAGACAGCTCCATGGGCCTCTCCTTCGCCCCACCTGCCACTCGCTCACAACCAGAGGTAGAGCTCCCCTACCCTCCGCCTCAGTGATTCTCCCTGGGGTTCCAGGGAGCTCTGCCTTAGGTGCTGTCTCCCGGGCTGGCTTCCTAGGCCCTTACCCCCACCCCACCCAAGGATGCATCTCACCAGCCACACTTACAGAGAACTGTCCAACCAGCCACAAGGCTCAGAACTCACCCCCAGCCCCCAGCTTCTCTCCACGCACCCCAGTAGAGGTCCCTACAAAGCTCCAGGGAGGCCTCCTCTGCCCACCCCATTAAAGTCCTTCTGTGCCCTGTGCCCACCTCTGTGTGACACCAGAGTGCTCAACCTTTCTCTTCTTGGAAGACTGGCTCACTCACTCCTTCACTGTCTTGCCCTCCTGCCCACCAGAATGGCAGCTCCAGAGGACTTCTCCGTCATTCCTGGGTGCATCCCAGGACCTAGCATGATAACCGGCATGGGGCAGGGACACAAGTCACTTGGCAAGTCAGTTGTTTGCACAGTCAAGGAAAGAAGGGAAGGAGGGAGGCCATTCCTGTTTCCACATCCACGGGGCCCCTCTCACAACCCTGGCATGTGGGCTGGTGGGGATTGTCATTTCCAGGGTTCCTGCCTCTACCTCAGCCTGGATGAAGAAACCTTTACGCATCTACACTCCACAAATCCCCTGTTTCCTTTCTGCAACAGGGCCCTGATATCCAGTATTGATTCCAGCTAAACTTGAAAGGACCCAACCCCTTTCCTTGGCCATTTACATGAGGACACCGAGGCCTTGAGAGATACAGTGGCCTCCCAGGGGTCATGCAGCTAGGCAGTGGCCATGCCAGAGCTCATCCAGGGACCCCAACCCTGGTTCATTGCTTTTCCATAGCACAACACTGCAGCCAGAAGGGGAGAGAGGGGAGGAGGGAAGGCAATGTCTTTCCTCCCGGAGGAATCACAAGGAGGTGACTCCCTAGATCCTCTTTCTCCCTTCACCACCACTAACCCGGGTCCCTGGTCTCCAACAGTCAGGAAGTTCCTCCTGATACCTCACCTCCATCCCCCTTCTCAAATTCCAGACTATTTCATCTTAGCCTGCCTTGCCCAGAGCAGGAGAATAGCTTGGTCACTCTCATCTGCACAATAAATGCCTTCAGACATGGCTCATTATTCAAGCCCCTCTCCCCTCCCCACCTCACTCCTCTTCATTCGCCAGGCTGAGAATCCCGGTCCTCTGGGCCCCTTTCCAAATGACTTCCATCACCACCCAGAGGCTGACATGATAAACGCTGGGTGGGGGAGGGGCGCGGCGGGCCTGCCGTGATGGGGGGTATCGATCCACTGGGGCTCCCTCCCTGGGAAGCTGGGGGCGGGGAAGGAAAAGGTGGCCTGAGGTCATCCTGGTCATCCCTCTGCCCCTGGGGTGTTGGTTGCAGGCCCCGGCATGGAGACAGCAGACCTGGGAGCTGGGCTGTTGGGCCTGAGCCCAGGCTCCCGCAATGAGATTAAAGCGGGGACTGTCTAATTGATTCCGATGGAACTGGGGGAGAGAGGGAGATGAATGGAGAGAGCAGGAGGAGCGAGAGGAAGGAGGATGGAGAAGGGGGAGGACCAGAGGGTCAGGCTGGGATGCCCAAGAGCATCAGCACCAGCTAATGCAATTACCACGCAGGCACCCCGCCCCTCCTGCCGAGCCCTCTTTCACAGAATGCAGCCACTGGCTGGTCTGCCCTGAACTGGACAGAGAGGGTGGTCCAGTGTGGGTGGCACAACAGGAAGGGAGCCGGCTTAAAGTTGCCCGTCCTAGGAACCCAGACGACACAAAAAGGCAAGACAGTGGCAGTGATGATGGGCAGACATCTGGAGGCACCGGGGGAGAGACAGGATAGAGAGGCAGATGCAGACAAGTAACCAGGTCCCTGTTCACTTTCCATCCATCCATTGCTTCCTTCTCCACCCCATGACCTTCACCCATCCAGCCCCCTGCCACCCCACTCCCTCCTGCCAGGCCATCTTACTGGGCTCTTCTCCTGGGCCCACCCCCAGACTACCGTTTCTGCAGTGGGTGGAAAAGGAGCCAGGGCAGAAGGCGGAAGGCTCCTGTCCATCTTACAAAGAGCAATAAGCGGCAGTGAAGGGCTAGCTTCTGGGTGAGGGGAGGGGAGGACAAGAATAAAGGAAAGGGGAAAGAATGCACGGGGTGCAGCCAGCCAGGGAAACTGAAGCACAAGCAAGACAGGCAAGGCCTCCTCCCCTGGCTTCATGTGCAGCAGGGCTGGGGATTCCCAGGAGTTCCTGTGTCCCGTGGCTCACGGAAGGGGCTGGCCCAGACTGGGCTCAGAGCTGAGACCCTCCCAGGCCCAGCTGCAGGCATCATGGTCAGGAGCCTGATACCCTGGGCCATAGACCTTCAGCCACAGCTGGCTCAGGCCCAGAGCAAGCTCCTGGGCATCCCCAAGCCCACCCCGACGTGAGTCCTGCACCACTGCACAGTAACAGGAGAGATGGCACCTCGGAGCCAAGTCCTCGCCATCCCTCAGACCAACACCAGGCACTTCCCTGGGTCTTACAGACTTTGCTGGTCCAATTTGACTTCCTCTTTTCCCCATCCCAAAAGGTCCCAGACCCTCCTTGGGGTCCACTTGAGCCCAGCTTCTGGCACATTCTATTCTCTGTCTGCCAGCCTCAGGGCAGAGCAGGGCAGCAGCCATGGCAGACCAGAGAGCGGGAGGTCTTTGCTGTGGTATCCCTCAGCCAGCCTGGCCCCACCACAACAGGTCCCTCCGGTCCTATGGACAGATAAGCTTGGGGCACAGCCCCTCCTGGGAGCCTCAGTGTTCTCATCTGTCAAATGAGTACCACTGTATTTGCCTTTCTTACCTCCCGGAGCAGTTTAGACCATGCCAAGAGGCAGCATAGGTAGGAGAAGCATTCCCTCCATCATCACACCCTTACCTCCCAGAGAGAAAAATCCGGAACAAAGCTCCCAAAGAATACAGGGCCCAAATTCTGGGCCTGGCACTTACAGGCTGTGTGACCTTGGGGAGATCATTTCCCCAGTCTGAGCCAGTGTTTCCTCTTTGGAAATATGGAGCCAAAAATTCTAACCTCCTGGGGCAGTTGGGTGGACTAAATTGAATGCCTGTCATTGACCTGATTCATCAAAGTGCCCTCAGGAGCTCCCAGACAAATATCAGAGAACCTGGGACCAAGCCACCCAAGGCAAGTGCACAGTAGCCCTTCCTGGGTCTGCCAGTGTCCATTGCCCACGGCCCCCCCAGACCGTGCTCCTTGCCAGAACCCTCAGCTGGAGAGCCCTGTCTGGAACATGCAGTTCACATCCCCAGCCAGGGTGTGGGCGCCTCGGAAGAAGAGCCAAGAGTCCCAGAAGGGTGACACCAAAACAGCCTCATTAGAAGATGTTAGAAGTGGGCCAGAGGAGAGGGAGACTGAGGGCACACGAAGAGGCTAGGACCCAAGAAGAGACAGGAATTAGGGAAGAGAGAGGAGGGAGCCCAGCAATGATTTCCTGAGTCCCCCACCCAACAGAAAGCAAGCAAGAGGAAATGAGCCAGGATCCAGGTAGAAAATACTCAAATTAGACAACAAGCAGAACTTCTAAAGAGGCACCACACTGCCAGAGAAACTTCTATTTTCAACCTTCTACTCCCCGTGCTCGCCTTATGAACCCCAAATAAGTTCTAAGCCTTCAGTTTTTCATAGCTCAGCATAAAATCTCAGTTCAAAGCCCCTGCTCCCCTTAAGCAGGAACACAGGCCAGCCCTGGCCCCAGGTGCCTGAATCTCCACTGGACAAGCTACACGTCCAGGAAGGTAAGGGCTGCAGGCTGGAACTCAGTCAATGAGGAGCAGGGCACTGGGACAGGGAAGAGAGGGAGTAGGGAGAGCTGGGGCCCGGCCCCCCGAAAGACAAAAGCAAGTGCTGAAGGAACTTCCTGACTGCTTTGGACCCCAAATGGTAGAGTGCTATGTAGCGCTGATGGAGAAGGGCAAAGGAGCTGCCTGCTGGGGTGGGGGTGCCTGTGTCACCTTGATTAGAGAGGATGACAGTTTGGGGGCTGCCCTGGTCCTCCACGAGCCCCCGTCTCCCTGGAGGAAGCCTCTCTCTCCTTCCAGTCTTGGGTGCTGGCTCCATGCTCACCATCTATGAATGGTCTCAAATGTACCTGAAACTTCTGATCGAGGAAGAAGAGGGGTCCCCCACCTGGGTCACAGGGAACTGCATCTGAGACCAAAGAAGTGAAGCGGATCCTTCCAGGAGGCATGGGCTGATTGAACACATGTGTTTGCTTTTGTTCCCTCTAGAAACCCCACTAAAACAACAGTATAGGGTTCTTTTTATTTTTTTAAATAAAGCATAAATCCAGGTGGGGCATAAAGGAGAGGAAATGCCAACAGCAGTGGATGCTCAGTGTACACCACCCTGCAGCCCTTCCATTCCAGCAGGACAATAGCCATGGCACCCCCACCCTGCCACTGCACCAGCCCCTCCATTCAGCAATTCCCTACCCACCAGAGGCCCAGTTCTGCCTCCTAGGCCAGTTCCTGAGATCACTTGTTAAATATTTTGATTATCACCCTGACAACAGTGTTCAACATCTAGGAGCTAGAGACCGATGGGTGACTGGGAACTATAAACCCAACACCGCAGAACACTGAACCAAAGTGATGGCCAAGAAGCAGCTAATTCAGAGACCAGAGCTCCCCAAAGGCTCAGGACTGGTGACCTGAGAGACCTTCCGGATGGGATAAGTGTGAACCACAAACCAGAAATTGGTAGGGCACTAAAGATGAAACCCTGTGACAGTCCAGTCTCCTCCCTGACCCGGAAGGAGGCCCGAGACTCATTCCCTGGAAAGAGTAAGACAGCAGCACCCTGGGGACAGGAGGCACAGCAGAGGGTGTGGCCCTGAAAGGAAGGTGTGTGATTACTGAGCACGAGTGGCAGCCAGGCATGATCCTGCCCCCAACAGACAGGTGGGGACTTCTCTGGGGATCCAGTGAGCCCAAAGGGAGAGACCCAAAGATACTCATCAAAGTTTTCCCTATGAAACCACCCCAGCCCGGCAGACAGGTAAGAGCAAACAATCCACCCTTCATCGTCCCAGTTTAAACATTGAGCTGAAAACCCAGGTTCCTGAAAGCTTTGAGTAAGCGACAGGGAGCAAAAGTGACTTGGAAGAAGTAAGTACAAGGCAGGGAAAAGAAAGGCTTAGGTATGGTAACCAATACCCTCTTCAAGAGAACAGAAGCAAGTGCAGCCATGAAACAAGGACAGGAAACTAGTAAATAAAAAGAACATCCAAGCTAGGCATGGTGGTGCAGGACCATAATCCCAGCACTCTGGGAGGCTGAGGCAGAAGGATTACAAGTTTGAGCCCAGCCTAGGCTACTTATCGACTTTGTCTCAAAATAAAAAATAGAAAAAGGCCTGGGGGTGTAGCTTGGTGCAAAGGTCATGGGTTCAGTTCCCAGTACCGCAAAAATAGAAACATTCAGGAAACCAAAAGGTAGGCCTTGGCAATGCTAAGGCCCCCTGCAGACTCTACCAGGCACCTGCTCCAACCTGTTCACCACCCTGGAGCTCCTGAGAGAGAGAGAGAGAATCTCATAGGGAGTAGAGATTCTCTCCAAGAGAATGGAGGCCCAGGCCAGGAAGAGACAAGGATCCGGGGGCTCAAAGGGGTAGGCCATTGGCCTGGTGAGCCTGTGGAAGGTCCCCCTGCCCCCAGGACCCCTGGCACCCACTGGCCCAGAGAGGCTGCCTAGCAGTAGCCCCAAGAGGCAGAACCCCTGGCTCCTCCAGATGGGGAAGTGCTGCTGCTGAGGTGACCACAGCCCCGTGACCAGGCACAACACCCTCTCCACCCAACTGCCCACCCTGGAACACTGTGCTTTGCCTGCAGTCTTCTGGGCTGCACTCAGTTCCACCTCCAGTGCTTACTGGTGGCAAGGAGTCCTGGGTTGATCCGGGCCCTGGGCTCACATCTCTCTGCCCGAGTCGCTCACCAGCACCAGGAGTTCCTTCCCAGGAGCCACTCACAGCCCTCCCAACTTCTGTCTGTAGCAGTGTGGTGGGAAGGCCCCAGGACTCCCGCAGAAGACGTGTCCCAAAC